GATCCCTGTCTGGAAGTGGGAACACATCTCCATGGATTTTGTAGTCGGGCTACCAAAAACGCTAAGGCGACACAATGCTATTTGGGTTATAGTGGATCGACTGACAAAATCTGCTCACTTTCTTCCGATCCAGGAAACATATTCAGTTAGTAAACTTACTGAAATTTTCCAACGAGAAATCGTGAGAATACATGGTACGCCAGTTTCTATTACTTCTGATAGGGACCCGCAATTCACTTCACGATTCTGGACCGGATTGAATAAAGCTTGGGGTTCAAGATTTACTATGAGTTCTGCATTTCATCCTCAAACCGACGGGCAAACCGAGCAAACAATTCAGACGCTCGAAGATATGTTACGGGTGTGTGTCTTGGAGTGGTCGGGTAGTTGGGATGAGTTTCTTTATCTTGTGGAATTCTCGTATAATAATAGTTGGCAATCCAGTATTGGGATGGCTCCATACGAGGCCTTATATGGATGGAAATGTCGTGCACCAACCTGTTGGAATGAAGTCGGAGAAAAAGTCATCGAAGGACCCGACTTGGTTCGTATTACTACCGAAAAAGTCAATATTGCCCACCAGAAAATGAAAGAAGCTCAATCACGCCAGAAAAGTTATGCGGACAAACATCGCAAGCCTCTCGAATTTCATCCAGGTGATCATGTCTTTTTGAAACTCACGTCATTCAAAGGTATCCGGAGATTTGGAATCAAAGGCAATCTTAGCCCTCGATACATCGGTCCATTCGAAGTTTTGGAGCGTGTTGGAAAAGTTGCATATCGTCTAGCCCTACCGCCTCAATTATCGCACATATACGATGTTTTCCATGTACCGGTGCTCCGAGGGTACAATTACCACCCTCTTCACGTCATAGATTATCCGTGTGATAAAATTGAAAGTGATCTCTCCTATACTGAAGAACCAGAAGCAATTATCGATCGGGAGGAGAGAGTGATGCGACGAAAAGTAATTCCATTTGTCAAAGTTTTATGGCGAAATCATTCAGAACGAGAAGCTACATGGGAAACTGAAGACTCGATACGTAAAGAATATCCTCACCTATATCAGCTATATAGTTTCTAAACCTTAACTCGATTTCGGGGACGGAAATTTCTTTTTAGAAGGGGGGGATTATAACAGCCTGGATTTTGTTATTAATTAATCTTGGTATATTCATTTACATGACAATTGGATGCTTTATCTACTTGTATCCTTGCTTAAAGTCGTTGTATTTTGGACTAATAATGTAAGTCCAAGTTTTATGTAAAGGGTCAATTATGTAGAAAATAATTTGGTCTTAGGACTAAAAATGTTAAGAAAAATCCATGTAAAAACTAATTTTGAAATAGGCAATTGATGAGGGGTAACATTTGCTAAGTGATAATTCTTTTACTAACTATTTAAACCCTTAAATTTCAGAAAATTTACTCTCATTTCTCACTTTTCACTTCTCTCTCTAAACCTACGCCCTCTCATCACATAAACCCTACCTTTTGGTTTTACCTCCTTATGCATCTTCCAATTTGGTGTTAGTTTGAAGATTTAAAGCTAATTGATTGAAGATAATGTAAAGAAGCAAGGTATGAAATTATAAATGTCAAGATTTGTGGTCTAATTTGTTGATTTGTGATAAAATTGGGAGGTTTCATGTTAGGGTTCATAAGGTTTTGATTAGTAAGTTAAACCTTTGTTAAATGATGTTATTTTTTATGTCATTGTTGGTTAAAGAAGTTATAAATTAAGTTTTAATCATTTATTTGCAATATGGTAAGCTAGATAGTTGATTCTTGATGGTATTAGTGTCAAACTTATGCAAAAGGGGCTGTTTTGAGCTGTGTATAGGAA